GGTTGGAATTCAACAAAAAGCACATGAAGGCGGAGGTGGGTGGGTGGAGAGAGATTAACCAAAGAACTTGTATGCATATATGCATGACCCATGGACACAGCCAATACTGTGGTGAAGGCCTGGGGCAGGGGCGGGCTAGAAGGGGTCGATGGGGGAGGAGGGGGACATATGTAATGCTTTCAACAATAAAGATTAATTTAAAAACAACCGCAATACCCCAAAGAGTCTGTTTGCATGGGGCAGCCTGGGGGCAGTTTGTTGGCTTTCCCCTCCCTCTCCTCTCCTTCCTCTCCTTCCTCCTCTCCCTCCTCCTGGGAGGAAGCAGACCTCCTATCTCAGAGCTGCCCCTTCAGGCTGCAGCCCCTGATTTCCTTTATTTTATGATAAAATATTCATGGGAGGAGGGACTGAGACCCCCTTGCTGAGAGCAATCTGCATTTCCCAGGCACCTTCGCTAGGAGGCTGGCCTCCTCCTCTTTTTATTATCCATCTCGGCAGCCTCTTGATCCGAAAAAATGGCCGCAGCTGGGCCCAGGCCTGAGTGGGCAGCGGAGTGTGCGTGCGGGATGGAGCGCGGGAGGCCCAGGGGCGCCGGCCACGCTTGGCAGCTCTAGCACTAGAGTACAGTCTCGCTTATAACAGGGAGCCGCTCGCCCTCCTGGGAGTAAAGGTGCAGGCGCATAACAAACCCGCGTTGACGTCCCTGTCCCTGTCCCCGTCTGTGCAGCTGGCAGAGGACATGTGCATCTTCCCGGTTAATGTTCGCATTTACCCAACACAAGGCGGACGGACGTGAAGCCCAGGTTAGCAGGCGTCCAGGGCAGCAGGCGACTGAGGTGCTGGGCTCGGGCCCTCTGAAGGACGGAGACTTGGGGCGCTTTCTCTGATTGGTCAGCGCTGTCTCTCGGGGTCGCTGTGAGGGACTCAGGCCACAGCAGTCATGCGGCGTGGAAGTCAGCCTGGACCAGGGACCGAGGGCTTTCTGCTTCCTTCCATGCGTGGAGGTGACACTGGTTAATGGGGTCACAGAGGTTCCGGGTCCGTTTCTCTGGGAGAGGATGTGGGGGCAGGAGAGGCCGCGAGGGGAGGCTCCCTGGGGACGGAATGCCTCCGTGAGGACTGCCAGCTCCAAACCACCAGGATGTTCATCTTCCAGGAGGGGCAGCACCGTGAGCTTGAAGCTTGGGAACCGACACGAGACGGGGAAAGGGGACATCGGCCAGTGAGGAAAAACACGGGACGTACAATGAGGAGGTGGCATGAACAGACAGCGGCCGCCAGCACCGATAACCCTGAGACCAGGAGGCTCACTGGGGACCCACAGGGACTCCCCCCCCCAGGCGGGAGTTAGCACACGCTGGCAGGAAGTGCTTACACTTTCGCTTAAAATCTCTCAGTCCACGGTTTTCATTCTTCAAACTTCGTGGGACAAGAACGCAGAAGGAGACCGCCAGCTCGCCGTGCGGGGAGCAGATGGCACAGGACCTGGTCACTGTGTTGTGTGCCCACCCACCATGTCGGATCTCCTCCGTCACCCTGTGTTTGACCCCGTGACTAAGTGTCTTTGAAGTTCGGGTTCTTTGGGAGGTTGAATGGGGCCTGGAGCTGGGCTCTGGACCAGCAGGCGCTGAGGGTGCTCGGCCCTGAGAGCACCGCCTGACTCGCCAGGCACATGGTGATGGGGGGGGGGGGGGGGGGGGGGTTGTTTGTTATACACCATTGTCAGAGAAAAATCTGACTAATACAGGCAGCAGTAGTAGTGAGGTAAGAATGGATGGATAGATTGGATTTTTAAGATAAAGCTTATTGGAACTTATAG